TATCCCGATACCGGAACCTCTGGTATCAGGAAGCCGGGCAGCGAGTCATTACATGCTGCCCGGCTTCCTAATTGGCTGGGAAGCCAGCTCCCTCGTCATCAGGGAGCATGGAGCTGGCTTCCTGGCCAATCAGAAAGCCGGTGGCGGGTAATGACTCCCCCCGGTTTCCTGATTGGCTGGGAAGCCGGCTCCATGCTCCCTTGCCACTTGAGGACGAGGGAGCATGGAGCTGGCTTCCCGGCTAATCAGGAAGCCGGGCAGCGAGTCATTACACACCACCTGGCTTCCTTAATGGGACTTCCGGGATCGGCGAGTACCTAAAACAAAAAATATTGGTACTTGTCCTCCATACCAAAAAAAACGGTATTGGTGCATCCCTAGTTTAAAATGTCATAAAATGACCCAACTATAAATCAATTAGTTTGAAATGATGCCAAGCACATAATGCCAGCGTCCAAACAGAACTGTTTAATGCCAGCAGTAGCCAGATGCCCGTCATTCAGCGCAGGTTAAAAGAAGTGACCATATTTATGTACAGTATGAAGCTTAGATATTTGGATTCCCTTTCTTCTTTGGCACTGACCCATATAAACTGCCATCTATATTTATGCATTACCATGACTGTTTCCCTAGTGACGCATGTACATTATGTTTACCTTGTCAGTAGCACATAACTGCCAACTGCATGAAAGAGCTGATCCAAAGCAAAACATTTAATACCAGTCCCATTAAACAAGTGAGCCTTCACCGATTACTGTATATATACAGAGCTACAGCTGGCCATTCATTGCTCGCATTTCAGCAGTCTTGCTGACTGAAATGTTATGTGTATGGCTCAGTCAGCACCCCTCTGTGCAATTTTTGTAATTAATTTTTGAAGAAGGTGCCAGTCCAAAAATTATCGGTTGAACAGCAACTTCTGCCAATCAACTGTAGTACTGTGCGGTTAGTCTGGCATTGGCACACCCCTTGCTATCAGAATGCATTAGCCCTGTACAGATATGCCTGTACTGTCCCCCGAAGATAGGGAGGTGATGGAGGCCCCTATTTCCCCAATGGAACTGGAGCTTGCGATTAGAGCCACTAAACCAGGAAAGGCCCCGGGTCCCGACGGCTTCACAGCCGCTTATTACAAGCTATTTAATTCCCAACTCTCTACTCACTTCCTCACCGCGTATAACTCCATCTTACAGGACTCCCCGATCCCTAGGGACATGTTACGAGCCTGGATCACCCTTATACCTAAGGCAGACCGTGACCCCATGATTTGTGGTAATTACCGCCCGATTGCGTTGCTGAACGTAGACTTGAAAATTTTCTCTAAACATGGAAGACCTAACGGCTACCCTCAGAAACACAGAAGGGCAGTTCTTGTCCACCTGGGGTGCGTGGATCTACTTCCAACACTCCGACCGTTACGCAGCTCTCCTGTCAGGAGACACGCGTGCACCCACTCCCCTGGCCACCTCCATCCCCCAGTAGTTGCCTCACATGGGGGGACGTGGTGAAAGTTACTTCACCGTCTCCCAACAGTAGACCTGGAGGATTTCTCCCCTTGAAGGGGGGGGAGGGGGGGGAGCAGGCCAGGTACCTCTCTCCTCCTGATCTCCTCTTCTACAACTATATTCGTGTTTCCATAAGGAAATGCTACATCCCCTTGACTCCGCCCTTTTCTGTCTTTTCTCTCTCCCTCTTGTATAGTTCCTATATAGAAAATGAGCAGATCTGAAGAACTCACCATTATGTTACACACATGGTACGGCCACGTGACATACCCTACTATAAAATTCTGTTATTATTTTCATGGTAACCTGTCATATGGGGTGTCAGGGCCGGATCTTGATTTACAAACTTTATGTGAATTCCATAGCTCTTGGAATACTCCAAGAATACAAACAGGGTAATTGTGTGATATGTCTTTTTGTATTACTACATGCAATACGTGTTTATTGTACTTGTTCAGATAATAAACGAATGTAAAAAAAAAAAAAAGAATGCATTAGCCCAGTGAGGGGCTTCTACCATCCATGCCGTTTAGCATGAATGGGGGAATCACGTTTTTTTTCCTCATTGAGCCTTGTGGAAAAAAACAGTGTAGGCCAGAGCTAGATAGATAGATCCCAGGAGCCAAGTAACCAATGCCATCTGGCTCCCAACTTTTTTAGTTTTTTTTCCCTCTAGCTGTCAATGGATCTGGCCCCTACAAAAATCCTGCTGGCTACTGGATTGGACAGATTGGCTCCTGAATTCCATACTCATTTGTCCGCCTGGTGTATGGCCAGCTTTAGGCATGCTGCATTGCCTTCTAGTTACAGATACCATGTTCTTGATACAATGGGCACAATTCAGGAGTCAAACTGATATAATAAGTGGAAATCATGTATACACATTTCATTTAATCTGTACTGTGGCAGTGCAGGGCATTGCCATGGTGTAGTTTGGCAACTGTGGCACCCAGGACACTCAACCAGAGGGGCTAAGAGGGTCCAGAGTGTAAAATAGTTTGAGAAAGAACCTGGCTTTTCAGTTTCTTCCAGTTTTTCCAGATTTTAGCTGAGATCTAGAGCTCTGGAGATTTCCTGGAGCCCTGGGTGGGACGAAATCTCCAGTCCTGGAGCCAGGTGTTGCCAATGACCAGTCGGGGCTGATCAGGTGGCTAAGAGCAGCCTCATTAAGAAGCCAGGCCAGAGCTAAGGAGAGTTGGTGTGGTGTGTGCTGGAGGCACATGAGGGCCAAGCCAGGTGGTGTGCTGGAGCCACACCAGGAACAGCCAGGGAGGCTGGAGGATTAGACAGGCTGAGAGAGCCAGGTACACAAAGTGTGTGGAAAGCTGCTGGAAGCAGCTAAAGAACATGAAGCACCTCTGAGATGGTTTGCTAAGGCCAACGTTAATGTCCTGAGACTAGGACAGTGAGTGAACAGGACAACCTTTAGTTGGTGAGACAAGATACCCTTCTTGCTGACGATAAATTAACTTTACTTTGTTATATGCTGAAGTTAAGTCTTCATTTGTGTTTTCCACCTGTGAGTTGCTTAAAGAGAAAAGTAAAGACTTTTTGTTTATGGAAAAGCCATGTGTGAATGCTCTGTGAGCTCCCCAACATTACAATACCATAAGACTATTTTGGCATGTGCATGAATTTAAAGATCACTCTAATTACTGAATGAAAATTAAAAAAAAAAAACATATAACACATGTACTTTAATAAATTCATCCACCATGTATGGAAAACTGAAGGCTATTGCCAGTGACAACATGCAACTCATGGTGTTCTTCAGCCCACCTAATGCTATCTACTTCCTTGACCGCATAGAGGCACATTGAGGCAAAGAGGAAGTGTTGAGAAGAGTTTGAGTTCAATGGTGTTGCCGGTAACAGCCGGCAGTTTTCCAATAGTGATGGAAAACAGATGATCTGTGCTACCGAAAAAACAGGAAGAAAAACCGGACTAGCTAGAAGCCGCTGAGCTCAGGCCCTAAGCCTTAAAAGGTTAATTAATCAATGGTGCAGCGCTATAAGCGTCACGGTGTGATAACCAAAAGCACAGTGTTATGAGAAGGGTTTGTAAATAATACAAAATAACCTGATGTATTGGACCTCTCTACAAGGAAAGTATCAATGAATAATATATGTCTGCATGGACACTGTGTGACAAACGAATAAAGATGTTTAACAATGTGAATCTCTCTCGATCGAGACTAGCGTGCAATATTAACCTGTGTTGCTAAAACTAATACATGATGCGAGTGTGCATATTGAAAAAAAACCACACAGTCCTAACTGGAATACTGTGAGTGAAGATGCTAACATTAAGTGGTTAAAACAAATACAATTGGGAAAAATGAATGAAAAAATAAAATAGTTATGTGTAATAAACAATGAAAGTGTCCAATTCTTTTTATTTTTTATACAAATCACACCAAGATTCCAGCAAGACGACACATGACTCTTTGTCCGGACATCGTGTGAACAAATCAATTGACGGTCTCCTCCACATCTAACTCTTTTCCCCCACTTGACACCTTGAATGAATCAGTAAGGATTGGGGAAAGAGTGCAAACCGAATGAAGTTCTGTACTTTATATATCTTTTATGGACTTTAGTTATTTAATATTTATTATATATGGATTTTGATTATCCTCAATATTAATTTATGTACACATTATTCACATTGATTGATTTGAATATCCTCGAATATTAATGATTCACACATTATTTCACGCTGTTTAATATATTTTTTGCACCATACTTATTGTATTTCATGTGTACACTTAATATAGGGCGGTATACACACCGTTGCGTTTTGGGTTGTTCTATTGTCTATTTGGAGGTTTAAGGGTTATATTCAATTGTTTCACAATAAGTGGAGATAGCGCAGTGTATTGGTTTAGCACTTGGTGCGAACCAGAGCCTACGCAAAACTGTCAGTGATATGTTGATCTCCCTCTCGACCCAATTAGCTACGGCTGGGCATTTCCCGCCCCTTTGTTACCTGTAGCTGCAGAAAATGCCCCATCTGCAGCTGATCGGGCCAGGAGGGGGCGTGTCCCTGACAGTTTTACGCATTAGCACCAAGCCCACGCACATGCCCATACACCACCATTCTTCTATCAAGGAAATCAAATCTATTAATGTGTACTGCCCCTGTCACTTCCTGATCACACAGTGTAATGTCACCCATGTGCTGTCATCAATGGTCACCTTCAATGCCACGTCAGTGCCACAATAACAAGCATAGTGAGGTCTTCAAAGCAATAATAATTGTTTTACATCACATATATATGAACCACATAAAACCCAGACTAAGGAAGAAGCTGGGACGACAGCTGGGACTGACAACAGAGTGGTAATTCCACACATCGCTACCCAGCGCCTCATACAGCAATCTATAATGACACGATTCCAGCTGTCAATCAAACCCCAGCCCCTACAGATCACCCCGATCACATACCGGACACACAGAGCGGCTTTTATCAATGGACGTCCCGCCAGATCTCACCCCGGTGAATAATCTCTGAAGATCAGAACACATGTATTGTACATGTTACATTCAGTTACAAGAGGAAAATCAACGGTTCATTTCTGTCCCCAGAGCAGGAGCCATTTTGTTGTAGATAACAACACAGACCGCAACTAATAGGCGTCCGCGGAAGTATTTGGCAGTCCGCCTCTTCCAGCTAAGGTGAGGTGTTCTGTACAAGCACGCTGGGACCTTTAGTCCCACCCCAGCCAGGAAGTTTGAGGCTTGCCACCCTGTGGTCTCCGGTATCATGGCTTCCACCTCACTTAACAGACATCTGAGATTGCATCAGCCAGAGCTCGGGATAGAGAAAGCATGCACTCACCTCTATCTCCCACGCTGTCAGGCGCTGCTGTCACTCGCTGTTCTTGGCAGCCTTAAAGTTGTATTGTCAGTTGTATTGTCTGCTCGCACTTCAGTTTCATTTATTAACACCACTTTCTATTTCTTTTTTTAAATGAACAGTTCTAATTTAATCTTCAACAATTCGATTGCAGTATTTGTGTAGTAGCATACTGCTCCTTAAAATTGAAAGGTTTGGTAAGAGAATAGTATATTGCAGATGAAAATGTCTCCCTGCAGGAAGACTTTGTATAAAATCCTTCTGCTGTCAGAAAGTGGCATGAAGGTGGAGAGTGATCGGGGACTTTAGAGAACTACAAGATCCGCCCACAAAGGGAGGGAGGGAGCAGAAGGGAAGGGGGTGTGGAACACTCTGATCACTGTGAGGACAATCTACCTGTCATTGTCTCTTTACATTGTTATTTTATAAGAAATACATTGTTTAAGTGTGTGCTGTTATAAACTGCTAATTCTGACTTCACCTAACATTAAAAATAATACAAGTGTAAAATCTGATTAAAAAGGAACTCTACCTGCAAACCTAGGGCCCTTCACACCTAAGCAGAACGTTTATTTATTTATTATTGCTATTTATATAGTGCATACAATTTATGCAGCGCTTTACACAGTGCACATTCACATCAGTCCCTGCCCTCAAGGAGCTTACAGTCTAAGGTCCCCATCTCACATGCATACATACAGATCACTTTAAGGTGCCCATACACCTTGCAATCATCAGGCGAAAATTTTTGTACAATGATTGAACCGTCATACGATTCTCGTACGACGGCCTCATCCTGCCCTGACCATCGCACAGTTCAATTAGCGTCCTTTAGCAGAAATCCCCTGGACGAATTTCATTAATCGACCACACAGATTTTTGTTTGCACATGAGCAGTGTTAATTCGTATGATTTTTGACATATGAAAATGCCACCAACCTTGCGAAAATCGTACGATTCGACAGAAGTTTTCTAACCTGATGGAAATACAAAAGTCGTACGATTGTACAGTATTTGCGTTTGTACACTGCCCATCAACTTTACGAATATAGGACGAAAACGCGATCGCAAACGAAAATCGGCCTTCCAGCATGTCTTTGGAGTACCCGGAGGAAACCCACACAAGCACAGGGAGAACATGCAAACTCCTTGCAGCTAGTGTCCTGACCAGGAATCGAACCAGGGACCCCCAGTGCTGTGAGGCAGAAGTGCTATAGCTGGCCATACACTGTCATATTCTCTTTTGTTAAACCTGCTGGCTAAACCAAGAAAATATCACAGATTCCTCCTTCAACGCTTACCACCATCAATCGAGGAATCTCCGAGGGCCGGTGGTGGCATAAGGGAGAACTTGAACTTGAAGAGCTGTGGTGGAAGCAGGAGAGAATCAGCGGTGTCAATGAAACCAGCGCTAGAGGAAGCAAGGCGGCACCGGAGGGAGCAGAGCCGCATAAGCCGATGCCTCTTCTATAGCTCCGACTCCTGTCCTGTCCTGTCCTGTCTGTGATGCCAAATGCACTCCGCCTGTGAGGAATCGATAGTGAAAGCGCACTTCGCTCAGTCTGGCCAGCGATTGGTTAGCAAATTGCTCTTGGAAAGGTACGGCACCTCTGATTGCCCTGATCACGATATTTTTGTACATGAGTACATTAAACAAAAAAAAAATAAGACCTACCCAGAAAATAAAAACCAGTGTGTTCATTTGAGCCAAAAAAAAAAAATATTTTCGGGGAAACACGACAGGTGCACTGCCTGATAGCGTGCGTCAGTTGCACTTTTAAAGTATAGGCTGTGACACACTGCACGCGAAGCAGCGCGGAACGGTGGCACGCTGCCTTCGCGAGCAGTGTTGTCATGTCATTTTCTCCCCAGCACGTCAGCCTGTGAGCGTGCTGAGATGAAAAATGTAATCTTCAGCCAATCGGCTCGCGCGTATAAACCCGTGGGTCAGGATGCGATGACTGGTTGTTATGCACGAGACAATTGGCTGAAGGTGCAGTCAATCATCTGCCTGCACTCAGCTCACACACTGCACGCAAAACTCTGTGCCGGACAGCTGTGCTTCGCTTTGCACGGCTTTGCTTGCAGTGTGTCACGGGCTTTACTGTTTTGGGAGACATCAAGGGTCCATTCATAACTAAGCGTAGTGCCAATTGCATGATACAGTGCAATTGTGCAGTGTGTGATGGTGTGCGTTAATTGTACGGTATTGTATGATTTCGCTATGCTTAGGTGTGAATGGGCCCCTAATGTCTCCCAAATCAGTTACTTCTAAATGGTAACTGCAGCCAGGGACATGAATTGCAACATGAATTCCCATGCTGAATATTCACATAAAAATCTTTTTCTCAATACGTTCCAGTATATATGCTTGTCATTTCATAGGCTGCTAAATTTCTGTGCACACCACGTCATCTATTATAAATAAAATCTCTATATATTCCAATGGACATTTAAATTATGGTCATAATCTCACTATGCAGGCACATGCAGACCCATACAGAACAGATCTGACAAGCCACAAAGCAATTAAATCAAAGGCGTATCTATCTACTATAAAATGTGCCTATGGCATCCCGCCAAGCTCTTGGCAACCATTGACGTCAATAGTTACCAGGAGCTCGGCAGGATGCCTTTCAGAGCAAAAAAAAGTCAGCTATCTCCATGTGTCGGTCAACTTTCTCTGACCCACAGAGCAGCACTCTCCTCTTCAAGTGGCGTCCAGGACATGTGCCATATGTGTCATGCCCTGGATACGCCACTGCGTTAAATCGTTTTTAGGAATAATAAAACCATTTGCTGAAGCATTCCAGACTATTACTAATGCACAAGGGCTTGATTTGATTTTGTTTCCTCGGAGGACTTTTCTCATAATTTCCATCAGACACCTCTCCAGTTACAATGGTCACCAAAATAAAGAGGTTGAATCTCCCTAGCGAGAATGCATGGTACAATAAAATCCTTATTATGAACTATATCTGAGCAGTATAATGTTTTGCTGCTGGCCTCGATCAGGAAGCTTTGTTTCCTCTCACACACCGATCAGGGTCAAAGTGCGTTTGATAAGAAAATGAGGCCATCTGTCCAAAAGTGGAAGTTAAATCAGACATGGATCTTTTAACACGATAATGATTCAAAACACTCTAGAAAATCCTCCATATTAATTGAAAGTGACCTTAACTAGTAATTAAAATGTATCTTATTTGTGTAATTGCTGGAGATCCTCAAATCATCTCTGAATTCATGCTGATACTGTCCTTCCTTCTGGAGGGTGGCTATTTTTGTTCCGAATGATCCCTATATATGTTGTAAAATAGTCACCACTCCAAGTTCTCTCCCTTGATTGATTATTATCTCATGTTTAGTTTACTCATTTGTATTGAAATTTTAGTTCATCACAGGAGTAATCTTGGAGCGGTGGCTACTTTACAATTCAGAGATGATTTCAGGATCTACAGCTGAGTGATGTACAAATAAGATACATTTTTGTTATTAGTTAGGTACTTGAATGCATTTTTAATATTTAAAAGAGAACTATGGGGTAAATGTTTTTCCCCATTGTTCTTTTAAGGGTCACAGGAGACCATAAACTAGAGTCCTCCCGTGACCGAAAGCTCAGTATATCGCAAGCTACAGCTCGCGGTATACTGAGACTGCTGCAGCCAAGATGGACCCCAACATTACTGTCGAGATCCACCCAGCTGCGTGAGTGACAGCTGGCTCTAGAGGCAGAGCTAGCTGTACCCGCCCACTCCCACGTCCGTTCCTCCAGTCAGCGCTGGGAGGGGGGAAATCCCTGCAGGAAGCTGTGACTGATAGTCACGGCTCTCTGCAGGGAGATGATCGAGAAGTGAGTGAGCGACGGTACGTGTTTGCTCACTTCCCGATCTATTGAGCCGACCTGTGACAGTTTCATTGTCACACGTCGGCTCGAACTATGAGGGCGAGTGATTTTCACTCACCTCATAGTTCTCCTTTAACTCCTGAGTTTAGTGTCACATTAAAGGGGAGAAATGAAAGGTTATGGACTGGCTTAGTCAAAGCCTTGACTAGGGCTAAATGGGGAAACTTCCGCTACAAGGTTAACAGTCTTCTCTCCTTCAGTAAATCAACTCGGGACACAGGATACTCAACCAGCAATGCACCTATGGTTTCTTTATCATGCAGTGTAAGGAAAGAGCTTTTGTCTTATAGTCATGGTGGATGTGTCCAAGGATTACAATTTGCATGAACACTACGATCAGTACGACAGGTGAGGTCAGACAAAACAAAAATTGAAAAATGTATTGACATCTTAGCAAAATGTTTTTAAAAAACAGAAGCAGCTAAATACACTGCCTGGCCAAAAAAATGTCACTCAATCTAATATCTCGTTGGACCGTCTTTAGCTTTGATTGCGGTACTTATTTGATGTGGCAGCTTTTCGATAAGCGTATGCAATATCACAACATTTATCTCCATCCAGAGCAGCATTCATTATTCAGCAAGATCGTGTAGTGATGATGGGAGAATCGGAATACTGTGTAAAGTCTTCTCCAACACATCACAAAGATTCTCAATGGGGTTAAGGTTGGATCCTGTGGTGGCCAATCCATGTGTGAAAATCATGTCTCATGCTCCATGACCCACTCTTTCACAATTAGGGCCCGATGAATCCT